GATGATGGCTTAATTCTATAGCATTGTTCTCCTATGGGTTCTTCGACTCATAAATTTCATCATTCATCGTATTCGAGCCCAGTTTCTTGGTTCGACTTCTTATCCAGACAACTCGATCACCCTTCTTCAGTGTAAGAAGCTTCGTCTTCCCTTTGTGCCTCAATTTATCTGTTTGTATCAGGCTCTTCTGGCGTCGCTCCAACCATTCTTCTTCAAATATCTTCAGCAACCCCTTCCTTCGGGTGGCTCTCTTATTGGCCTCGGCTACTGCTTGTTGGGAGTGTATCGGGTCGTCTGGTATGGCTCTCGGTCTGCTGTCATTCCATACATCTTCCTGCTGGTAAGCTCTTATGATTTTCAATCCTGGGAGTGATGGCTCCCAACCATAAATTAACATATGAGGACTCGGTCTAGCTCCATTGCTAGTGTTCGTGTTAACTGCTGACTCTGCTATTCTGATTAGGTCATCCCACTTCGCTGTCGGGCATCTGTGGAGTGCAGCTCTCAAGCTTTTGCCAAGGGTTCCATGTACCCTTTCGTACCAACCACCAACCCATGGTGATCTAGTAGGGATAACCCGGTGCTTCATCCCAGCAAGTAGGCAAACTGCATGAAAGCTCGGCGCTTTTGTGAACTGCACGCCCTGATCGCTCCAGATCTCGCGTACCTTGGCTCTGACTTCCCATATTAGATACTCTTCTACAGCCTTCGCTGTCGTGACTCCCCTGGCATCATCAAGCAGCTTGAACTTCACGAAACCCGTTAGACGATCTATAATGGTAAGGACATACTTGTCTGTCTCTGTCGGTACTTGACTCTCTTTTGCAGGTCGACGAAGTGGCCCATAAAGGTCCACCCCTACGATCTCAAAAGGGTAGTTGGGGACGGGACATAGCCCCCCTTTCGTTGTGGACCCTAGGACATTGCTACTTCTCTTGACAGTATGTAAGCACGCCGAACAGGTCACAACTGCCTCCTTTACCACTTTTCTTATAGATGGACACCAACAAGCTGCTACGGTATGACGGAATACTGTCGGGTATCCTGCGTGCCCGAGAGAGTGGTGCAGGACTGTAGCGACCTCCTTGACAAGCCTTCGAGGTAATACCAACTGCTCAGTAGTGTTTGCTTTACTTACGTCATCAGTTATAGAGCCCCGCCGTATTTCTCGGATGAGCAGACCATCTTCTCGAAGGCGCATCCTATAAAGGTAACCCGACGAGTCTTCTCCAGCCAGAGGGTTCACCTTCAGAGCTTCACATGCTTGCCTTGTCTCTGTATCCCTCTGTTGTTCATAGGTCACCCATCGAGTATACAAGTCGTCGCTGTAGTCATTGTCATTAACGCGTCTCCAACTCGTGAAGGCTTCCCATTTAGCGATGAAGTTTCTGAAGCTTGGAGTCACACAGTTGGTAGGGTCGGTCTCGTCCGTAATCTCGTCGTTCAGTATCGTCATCACTGTTGCGATGTCTTCAGGCTTCGTAGTGGTCGGTATCCTGGAAAGTTGATCAGCAAGGCGATTGGTCTTACCCGCGATATGTTCGACTTTCATGGTGATACCACGGGTCTTCCAGTCGAAGGCGATGTCTGTCACAGCTTCCCGCAGTCGTTGTAGAGCCTTCCTTTCAATGCTCTTGGTGCCGATATTCACCCATGGGTTGCACTGTAAGGTCACCACTCTGGAGTCCGACCTTACTGTTACTCTCTTGAGTTTAGGTAGGTGTCCAAACAGTCGTCGATTCTTCGCACCGCATGTGCGATAGCCGTCAGCTCCTTACGGTTAACGTGCCAGGCTGCGTGATTGACAGTAAACGCACGTGCTTCTGCTATGATGGTTGATCGGCGTTCAGGTTCCGAGTCTGCATCTCTCGCGTAGTAGCCATGACCCGTCTGTGAAGCGTCGACCTCGACAATAACATGTTCGACTTCGGCGAAAAGAGTGAGAGCGCTATCCTCTTCGGAGCAGCGTTCCCAGCTCCTTAGAGCCAATGCATGGTGATCCCGTATCTCTCTCGAGCCTTGTGACAAAGCATGAGCCTCATCCCAGGTATCCCACTTCCCTGCCAGTCTTCTCATGGCATCGGCGTGACCCGTCGCGAGAGCTTCTTGGAATCCACGGGTGATATGCAAGAATTGACCTGCCGCTCTATAAACGGCACGTTTGGTAAGGGTCTCCGGCAATATCGCATCAGGACGGGGACGTACCATTTTCAGAGTCTCCTTGCCATCATAGCACCAGTGGCAGCCTAACCACCTTGTCGGAGCCGTCGTCGACCAAGTGCTACGTTTGGTGCTAGGACAGGTAAAGCCAGTTAGTCCCCATAAGGTTTCGATCATCTTCTCTTCTTTCAGGATGCTTTCCCGCTCGCCAATGGCGAGGAAATCATCCATAACACATATCCACGTAACCTTGTCTCCTCTCTGCTTGGCCTCGAGGCGTTCCAAGATCCTAAGTACGACCAGTTGGCTGTAATTGAGCCCCAAGGGTCCACAGCTTAGTCCGAAGACGAGAGCATCGCTGCTGAACCATTCGTGGTCCCCATGGCGAATCCATACCCTCCGTTCCTCCCCGTCTACGTCACAAGGTAGGACACGAATCGAGTAGAATGCTTTAGCTAGATCGTATTGCTTCACTAGTAGGTCTCTCCTGCTTCTCGGTTTCAGTGCCGCCCGAAGACGAGCCACTGCCTCTGGGACCGAAGCGGGACCCACTGCTCGGATACCAGCCGATCTCAAGGTCGGTGCTCTCTCATTTGGTTTACGGAGATCGACACATGGTCGGATTTGGTGGTCTGGCTTCGCATTGCCGCACTGGGAAGACGGTAGCGGCTAGGAGTCGCTCCTCTCGAGTAGGCTTCCGATCTTCTTTATGCCACCATCCTCGGTCTTGATATTCTTGGATTTGTCGATTCCACTCTTCACGCTCGTCCGTTTTCAAGTCGTCGATTAGCGCTTGGCTCGACCAAGGATATCTCACGTCTTCATCTTTTTCAGGCATCTCGATGTTCCACCTTACTTGGAACTGGAAATCCTGATCTTCGGTGTCTCTTTGACGGATATCTTCACCAGCTGCTAGTCTCCCTTCAAAGCCCGGACCGATATCGATCCAACCCTCGTCACTTACTTCTTTCAAGTAAGGACGGATGAGTTGCTTTGGGTCACTGGGCCGTTTCTCGGCATAGTCTACAGTCGGATTATCTTTCTCACGGTCAGGTACACGAGAGAGGATACCGCTGAGCTTACGATCTACCCAATTCGGCGTTGCTCCCGAGGTAGACAAGATCTCTCTAGGTCCATCGCTCAAGACATATGGTTCATCTGTGATGCGGCAGATTTGCACCGTAATCTCGTTGGTCTCAGTTTGTGAGTCGCTCCCTCGACTACGCTGCTCACTCGTTGCTTTACGCCAAGCTCCTCTCGGTATCTTGGTGGTTCTCGATCGGATGGATTCCCTCGTGCGATTACCGCGACCGCTTCTCCCTGACTTTGTGTAATTGTGAAAGTGCTCTTCCAGGTCAGTGAGCTCTCTCTCACTTTTATCCGATCTAAAAGCCAGCGTGACCCCAATGAGCGACAGAGCCCGTCGACCGAGCAGAACTCGCTCGGAGTGGCGGCCACTCAGTGGCCAGTTCGGGATTCTACAACGATGAAAGGTAGGTGATAAACCCGATCACTTCCATCGCTCTTCCACAGTTTCACCGGGATGATCGCTTCTCGTTGTGAGACTTCCGAATTGCTGTCGGCGTAGATCAGACGGATTGGCCTTAATGTGTTAGATACGGCAGCGAGCCCTTGGTCTTGGAGTCGATTCACCAAATCCACAGATATGACCGAGCAAGCAGCTCCAGAGTCCAAGAGCACCTCAGAAGGGAATAACCCAACGCCGCCAAGATCACATCGAACAGTAGGGGCGTGATCGTCTTTATCGATTGATTGAATATAGCGGTGGTCGTGAGATCCATTCAGTAACTCGGAATAGGCAATGTGGATCTCGACCATCTCCTGCTTCGCAGCCACTTCTGGGTTCATTCCGTCGCTGGTTCTCTTGCTCTCTGGGGGGTCCTTCTGCTGTCGCCGTCCGTGATCGCGGTTCGAGGGTGTTTTCTTTCAGGGCATAATCGAGCAATATGGCCTTTGCGCTTACATACTCGACAGTCGATATCAGGGCATACCGCCATCATGTGCCCGCTTCGCTTGCACGCTGTGCATTCGATGCCTTGGGGAACTGGACATGAAGCACGGATATGCTGATAGCTCCCGCATCGGTAACAGTACTTTGCATTGGAGTTTCTGGACGATATGCGGTTATCTCGCTCACCGTTAGCGTTCATGTTCTTCTGTACCTTCTGTGCTTGTGCTTTACACGGGGACCTCGATTCGGTATTGAATGTCCACACACGCGGAAAGATGTTATGTATAGACTAGAATAGCGGGCCTTCGGCCCGCTTTTTACTGTGGCCCCTTTGCGACCCTATCACGTATACCCTGTACTCGAATAGTCCACGAATGATAGTCACTGGGGTTTAATTCCCAGCTGCGGCGTGTAGACCTTGGAACTTGCTGACTTGATCGCTTGACATTCCCTTAGACTTAGGACTCAGTTCTACTCTCGTTCGCCCTGTAGCGTAATCGATGGGTGCGTCACGTCACCATCTGGGCGTCACGCTTTGTTGTTCCTTACGGCATTGCTTGTGGTTCCTCACCGTGAGGACCTCACGGAATTACTTTGCTTACGAGCTCTGGTGTACTGTACTTAGTCGACCTTCGGACTAACGTAGTACGTTAAACGTACTGTCGAGTTCACTAGTAATAGCAGAACGATCTTGGTCACTGACCATACCCCGGCATGCGAGTCTCGAGAAAGTCGAGACTCGCATTATTTCTCGTCTCGTGAGAAAAAACGAGAGAAAATAACGAGAGTTCTACGCGAGAGAGATTAAGCGAAAATTCCCGCGGGAAAGCACATCTTCTCGTTGCCTCACTTATTACTCGAGATAACGCGACTCTACAGCCAAAAATCAGTCTAAGTAGTACTTTTCTCAGTCTATTCGCGAGTACCGGTGAATTTAGACTAGACAGTCAAAAACATAATCTCGCGGCTCGTCGAACCTATTCAACTCGTTTGAACTCGTTTGAACTCGTTTGGACTGGTTTCTCAATTCCTAACATGAATCATGTTCTCCAGGGAATATGAACTTATGTTCAACGCAACTAACATTCTACGAGCAATAGCTCGTACGTTACAACGAGATTACGTTACATTAATACTTCAACGTTACATTAATACTTCCGTTGATACTAACGAATTCATTCAAGCGGCTTGAATCAAGCCTATTGATGAAAAATGATTGACCATGCCATACAATATAGTACTATGCAGTGCAGAGAGACGGCTCGTTGGTCTCCCAATTAGCGGCGGTTATGAAGCGATCATATCAGACAATTGGTGCTTCGATTCTTGAGAAGTGATTCCAATAAGGAAACCTTCATAGATTGTCTTCGATCTCCTAATAGAGCTCTCGCCATAGAGAAGAGCCCTTCGGTCTGACTTGTGCTTAGCACCATGCTCTTGCATGAATCCTTCAGATTCGCTATATAAGGATACTGGGCGAGAACATTAGGATCCGACCAGTAGGCATCATATCCCAGTGCCACCGGATCAGATCTACTATAACGTTCCACTTCGGCTTCGATCTTCTCCGTCAGCACTTCGTCCGATAGTTTTTCAGAAGCTTCTTGCTTCTTGAGTGCGTTCAAGGAGGGTAACCCTGTTGCATAGCACCCCAAGAAGCTATCTTCTAAGACCACTTCCCCAGCGGTCTGAGGCATATCGGCAGGTCCGGAATTGTCGGGCTCATCTGCAACGCCTTCCTTAGATTTAGTGACTATGCTGCACCAACTAACCATTTGCCACTTGATATATTCTTCTGATAGTAAATCGGGAGTGGTAGAACCGGCATCTTCGAATTCCTTTCGAATTTCCAAATCCATCAGACCTCGGAATTTAGCTCTGGATACTAAGCCAGCGGAGCAGCATATCGGAGTCAGACGCACGATGAGCTGAGATGT